CCATACAATTTTGAAAATATTGCGACTCTTTTTGAGCTGTTTACGGATATTTTCATTTTTCAATTTTTTTAGTTTTTTTTTCTATGAATATCAATAAAGTTTTATCTGTTTCGCCAAAAAGTGTAAAAATTTAATACAAGGCTCCTGATATATTGTTACAATATCAGTTGAAAAATATTAAAAATACATAGGCACAATTTTTTTTTATAAGCATTTAAAGATCGTATTTTGACAAAATTTATCAAAATCTCGAAAATTATCTATCATTGTAATTAATAAATTATAAAATGTTCAGTTTTTATAGCTAAGGATTGCAAATTTAAAAAAAGGTTCTCATAAATAGTTTATACTGTAACCAAAAAATCTAAAAAATATATGAACACAGTTATTTTTTACAGACATTTTAAATTCAAATTTGGACGAAATTACATAAAAAAAAACCTAGAATAACTATTTTAGTTATTTTGTTGTGATTGAATAATATTATTCGTGGGTACTTGAAACTTCTAAAGTGTACTATTATATATCTATGATAGTATCACGGTTTTTGTTGATGTATAACGTGTTATAAGTACCTAATGGATATTGTGATATGATTAATTTGGAATTTCTTATAGGTACCTATTATAGGTCAAATTTTGGTTTAGTACCATAGACTTGTATATAATATGTCTTATACCTAGACTGACATACCGTCTCCGCTCAGAATCGTTTTTCTTATACAATGATATTATATCGTTGAATTCAAATTTAATATCATCCATTATACAGTGACCCACTTGTAACCTACTGTACAGCCGAGCGACACCCACTTGCCAACCTTTTTTAACAACAAATTTTTTTTCAACTGTATTAATTTTAGGAGAAGATATGATTTCGAGTCCGTTTTACCGTACGCAACCCTTAATAAATGTTTGTCCGTGTGCGTTTGTGTGTGTGTGTGTGTGTGTGTGTCCATATTACCATAGTAACTATATATATATATATTATTTTGAGATTTCCGTCTGTGAGTGTCTCCATATTACAATGGCAACCAATTAAATATTATTTTGAAATTTCCGATGGAATGTTTTGTATATACATGGTTGCCATGGTGATATGTATAACATATTATTCATATAGAGTTGTCAATTTTAATGGGCAACGTAGTGCACGGGATCAAATATTTTTATATATTTAGATAGATTAGACCTCTGGGCAGAAGATAGGCTAATTTAAAAAGGGAGAGGACCAACACCGGGACGTGCTCAAACAGAGATTTTGAGATTTCCGATGGAAATTTTTGTTTATACATTTTATATGGTTTTCCGTGGGTTTCAAAGCTATAATAATAATAATAATTGGTTTCAAATTGTTGTTATGGTAACCGTTATATTATACAAAAAAACATATTATTAGTTTTATAGCGTTGGTATTTATAATGGGCAAAGAAGTGCACGAGATCAGCTAGTATTTCATAAAATAATAAATTAATATTTATAAAAAAATCTATACTTGATAAAAAATCTTATTCTATATTTCTATTTTAATCTATGTGTATTAAAAACTAAGTAGAATAAAAAAAATATGATGGAATATAAAAGACAATTATGGAAAAAAAAAATTATTTGCAAAAGTAAAGCACGAAAAATACAATTTTGATTTGCAAATTCTAAAAACCGATTTGCAATTATTTGCAATTAATTTGCTAAGTATTGGCGTTTGTTTGGAACGGATCGGACAAAGTGGGGGGGGCTGACCAAATTTGCAAAAAAATTCGCCAAAATTCCAATTTTGATTTGCAAATTCTAAAAAACCGATTTGTAATTAATTTGCTAAATATTGGCGTTTGTTTGGAACGGATCGGACAAAGTGGGGGGGCTGACCAAATTTGCAAAAAAATTCGCTAAAATTCCAATTTTGATTTGCAAATTCTAAAAACCAATTTGCAATTATTTGCAATTAATTTGCTAAATATTGGCGTTTGTTTGGAACGGATCGGACAAAGTGGGGGGGGCTGCATGAAGTTAGCCCCCCCAAATCATTTTATTAGTTTGCGAGCGTGCACTAATTTTGCAAATTCTAAAAACCAATTTGAAATTATTTGCAATTAATTTGCTAAATATTGGCGTTGGTTTGAAGTGAATCCGTCAAAGTGGGGGGGGCTAACTTCATGGTCATCTCTTTTTCTGTTAATTTCACGGCCATATAGATAGGTCTGGCAACTCGACAGTGTTTGTACGTGGTCGGAGTGTGCCGTTATTGTATACGGCATATCGGGGGAATGCTATGTGGCGCTATCTACATTCATAGTATAGCATTTTAAGTATTACAAATTTACTATTTTGATGGTATAGATGGCGAAACAATCATATACAAGCTATTATAGGAGATATTATGGGCATATAATAATATATACCTATCTAAAATTATTAAAAATAAATATTAAAAATTATTTGTGTACCTATCTAATTTATGGTAAAATTAATTGATAATATACAGATATACTAGTACTAGTCTTTAGTTTCTGCTACTTTCTAGTTGTTGAACATAATAAATTCACAATGCCTAGAGTATGCTCAATATGTAGAGAAAAAAATGATCTAACACTTTTTAGAGTGCCGATCAATAGTGTTAGAGCACAAAAATGGCAAGAGGTTTTTGGTACTCAAGAAACATTAGTCCCGGCAAAACTGTTTTGTGTGAAAAACACTTTTTGTCTACAGACATTGTAAGACAAAATTAAATTAAAGACCCTATTACAAATCATGTTATTTGTACAGTGAGTATATTTTTAATACCATAATAATAAAATATCAAGAAATTAGTTGAACTAGACCGGTTTAGAACTATCCCACGCCAAATTGAATTTTCCCCGTCTATGGCCATTATATCTATATATCGCTTACTTAAAGTAACCTAACATATAACCTTAGTTAAAGGTCTTACTTAAATTTTGCATATACACTAACATTAACTGGAAAGACAAAAATATTGCAAAAAAATATTGTCTATACTTAAGATGTTACTCTGACATTAGCAATTTAAAATCCAAATCATTTAAATCTACTACAGATATATCACTTTCAACTAATACAAAGTCGGTATATGCTCTTCATCAGAAGCTTCAAAGTATTGTACTTTACTTCAGTTTCAGAAACTAATTTAATAACTGTGGCCATATATATATAGGAAATAAAAAACAAAAGCTGCGGAGGTTAGGTTAGGAGAACTTTTACTTATTTTCACAATGCTTTGCAATTTTAGTTTCAAGTTTAATGCAGGAGTCTATTCCCTCTAATATATACATAATATATTTTAATGTATCAAATTGGGGAATTTTAAAAATTATATAACACAATATACTTTAGTTTAAGATTAATATATAATTCTTATTATGGATAGTTAATATAAATTAATTTAATGTACCTATGTTATTTTAGTAATTAATATTTTTTTTAAACTTTTAATTAACGATAGAAATTTTTAAATAGATTGCTCTAAGTAAGACTATACTGAAACCTGATGCTGTTCCTATTCTTGGAGTAAAAATTCCTATTAAAACATATTCTAGGATACACACATCAACTACAGTTAAGGTAAATCTATTTTTTTTTATATAACCCTGTAAAGGAGAAGACCTACTACACTTACCACATTATTATATTTTTATTGTGTCTTCTGGATCGATATAGTATTTTTAACTATAAACTGCTGACCACCCATATAATTTAACATTTGATGAATCATCTTGTACATCAGTTTATTATTGTAGTCAGTGACAACAAATTCATTTTTAAATGATTTTGCAGGAATTAAATATAAAGGTAGTTCATTCCAAACATAAGTTATGTCTTTAAATTTAATAAATTAACTTCTTGTATTATTTATAATATTATAGTTAATGATTTAAGATTTTATAGATCTACAAATCTAAATAGCTTTCAAAAAATTATAGTTTATATTTTTATAACATAACAATTTAAATCTTTATGATTCAGGAATCTAGTAATGTTGTAAAACCAATTGAAATTGGTCCTAGAACTGATGAACTAATAAGCCAAGAATTTTGTGAAGAGTTAATTGACTTAAAGGTATAATTATTTTACTTAGATAGTATTTATTAATATAATAGTTATTAATTAACATATTATTAGAAAAGTATAGGTACATATAACAAGATTAACATATATTACAATAAATTAGGTGTGATAGTAACTGTATTAATTATTAACTTGTATCAAGTGCATAAATTATTTCTTTTATTAGGAAAATTATGCTAGTAAATTTGGACCCAAAAAACTTGTTTTTTCAAATAATTATGAGCCATATGATAATCTGTTAGCATACAGTTTGCCCAGTAATTTATGCTTAACACTATTCGAAAATGAAACAAAAATATGTATTCCCAGTTCTTGGAATAAAATTTTGCAACAAAATAGTCCAAATACAACTATTTTTTGTGAAGTATTAACAAATTTAAAAGAACCAGCAGTGCCTGTATTTGGAAAAACAGTAGCTGTAAATGAAAAATCATTTGTCAGTTTAAGTTATTTGGGGAAATCCATAAGTCTAGACCACTTTAATCAAATTAAAGAACTTAAAACTATCTTCGAATTAGAAAATCTAATTCAACAATTTGACAAACAAATAATGTGCAATGGTGTAAACATAAGAGAGAATCTTATAAGACATAAACCTTCAAATACATTTATGGATCAAATTGGTAAATTGCGACATTTAAAGTGTATAATGTTAAGTAATAATAACAAAAATGTATGTGGAAATTGTGCAAGTATAAAACAATCAATACGTACAAATAAATATCGTCAAATAAAAAAACGGACTTCTGAGTATAAGCGCGTCCATTTAAATGTAACTCCTTCTAAATCCAAAAAATTACAAAATTTACGTCAAAAAGCAAAAAAAATACAGCAAAATAAAAAAAAGAGGACAGATTCAACTGAAAAATTTACAATCAAAACTAGATAACTCTAAGAAATATAAATAACAATTCGTTAATGAATGAATTAAGAAGTTCAAATAAAATGGAACATAACCAATTACTACTTGTAGAAGAAATATTGTCAGCATCTAAGAGGAAAAGTGAAAGAGGAAGAAGATACAATAAAGAATGGGTTATGTTGTGTATGTTCTTTCATATTCGGTCACTGTCTGGATATGCATACCTTAGAAATAATAACATTTTGCCATTACCATGTACAAGAACCATAAGAAAGTACTTATCAATAATAAATACTTCTTGTGGTTTTGACCCAAAGTTCTTTGAAATTTTTAAAATGAATCTTTCAACAAAACCTGAAATGCAAAAACCTGGTTTATTACTGTTGGATGAGATGAGTGTTAGAGAAAGCATTTCAGTAAATTCAAAGACCGTCACTTATTCTGGGTTAATTGATTTTGGACCAAAGGATGAAGATTTAACCAGTTTACCAAAGCCCACTTCCTTAAACGATAAGGCAACACATGCCTTAGTGTTTATGTTCCAGCCACTGGCTGGCAATTATACACAGCCAATAGCAGTGATTGCCCAGTGGCCAGTTAAAGGGGTAACACTTGCTCAACTTATCATTAAAGCAACTATTTTGTTAGAAAAATCTGGTGCATATGTTCATGGGTTTATTGCCGATGGTGCTCAAACAAACAGGAAAGTTTGGAACGAATATGGTTTAAGAGGCAAGCTAAATAATTGCCAAAACTATGTTGAACATTTTGTCGATCCAGAAAGAAAATTTTTTGCATTTTCGGACACACCACATTTGCTAAAAAATATCAGAAATCGTTTTTATAATAAAAAAGAACTTGAGGTAAGTGTAACTTGATCACTACACAATTCAACTATCAATTTGTATACAAATTGAATTATCCATTTATGTAATAGACACCACTAGGAATTATAAAATGGAAATTTTTTGAAAAATTGTATGAAGAAGATTGTCATGTAACAATCTCTTATTTAAAAGTTTGTCCAAAAATAACAAAAAATCATGTACATTTAGTAAATTCATCTCTGAAAATGAGAGTTCATTATGCAGCACAAGTAAGATCTAATTCATTAACAAAAATTGAAAAAATATAATAATATTTTAATAATATTTATTTACACTTGGATTTTCAGTAATAGTGTTGTAGGTGGTTTGGAGTTTTATAAGAAACGAAACATAAATGGTTTTGAAAATTGTGATCCTACAATTAAGTTTTGTAAACTAATGAATGACATGTTTGATTATTTAAATCGTAAACACACTTTTGATGGAATAAATTTAGAATCATCAGACTATAAGGTATAAAAAAATTTAAAAAATAGGTATATTTTGAAATTAAATTAATTAATTTAATAGATTTTGAAAGAATCATTAAAATTTTTAAACAATTGGGAAGACATGTTTCACAATCGCAAAATAACTGAAAATCAGTTTTTAACAGCTAACACAGCTGAAGGTTTACGAGTAACACTTCAGTCAACATTAGATATTATTGAATATTTAATTACTAGATACAATTTCACTTATGTATTAACTGGAAAAATAAACCAGGATGCATTAGAAGTAAGTCGAGCTATTATTAAATGTAAAATTATTTGATTTTTAATTTCTATATCGACGTTAGTGATAGTAATATATATTTGTATGTTCACAGCCAGCTTTTCCAGGGAAAAAAAAAATTCAAGGGGGGAATGTCCACTTGGAGCACTCAGATTTACCGTGTTACACAATTTCACACTGTTTGACTATCAAATTTCGTCTCACACAAAAAATATTTAACATTTACCAATTTTTAAAACTAAAATAATTATTTCAAGAAAAAACACAAATTATTAAATCGTAGTTTTTTCATTGTTACAAATAAATTCTTAATAATATTTACACAAGTTTTCTTACTTCTCTAGTAAAAGGTACATATTCTACAATACGATCATGAATTAAGAAACAGTAAGCAGTCACACCTGTGAGCGATTCTGAAGCTTCAATTTCCAATTGAACATCCACTGCTGAGGCTGTGGCTGAATCGTTCTGTTTCGAAGTATCGATAACTATAATTGGAGCGTTTGTCAGAAAAGTAGAAGGACTCAATATCGGGTTACGAATACTTTTTTCATAGTACGATTCTTGAAACGATGTATACATATTATATAATAAGGTGAAATTATTTTTAGTAAAATCTAAATTCAAATTATCGTATGGATAAGCTATAGAGTTCAGAAATACTTTAACGTTTGTTAAATTACAATGATCAAATATACTACAATCTTTTGTTAGCAAATTTTTGCGTCCTTTTTGTAATCCAATTATGATAAATCGTGGTTTTTCTAATTTTGAAGCAGTTCTCAAATTCCATACAACTTTTTTAGTGGTTCCGAGTTCAGGATATTCAAAAGTTTCAAAAGATCTAAAAGGAATAAATAGACTTTTTTCTTTTTCTATAAGTTTCAATAATTTCAACCTTTCTTCATCGTCGACCGTTATATGTGGGACCTTCCAGACTATTTTATTTAAGGTGATTTTACCTTCAGTACCACTTTTAACTTGTAAAGCATTTAAATCACTATGACTTCGGGTTAATATTAATTCCAATCTAGAATTCACTAATATTCTTTTATAGTCTTCAAACAATCCTAACCAATATTTCAATGGTATGCAAGCACTAAATTCACCTTTTTTATTTTCCGATTGCGTTGCGTTTTTAAAATTCCAGCCAGCATTTTCATAACAATTGTAGTTATCTGGCGTGCCGGATAAGTAACCTTTCAACGAGCTAGTGATTCCAAGAACACGTGTGCTATCTACTTCTATCCCATTGATTTCCAATCGTATTTGTTCGAAGAGGTAAGAGTAACCGTTATTAAATAGTTTCACTTTGGTAGCATCAGTAATTGTTCCTTCCAAAAAAATAAAGGTTTCGTGTAGATATGGGTAGACATCCGTTTGCTGGATTGATATACGTATTTCATCATTATTATTAAATGATGTAGTATACGGTGTGTATGAATGATATTCAATTTTCGTAATTTTAGAATCCGTTTCGTACTGTGAAGTTATATCTAAAATATCACTCTCAGGCATTCTGCTTTAATTGATAACCCAGAGCTTGTAAATTTTTTTTATTTTTTACCGTTAATTTTTTTATCTTATTTGATGTTGCTGGTAGCACTTTAGTCTTATGACTAGTTGTGCTGATCCGAAGTAGCGGGTTTATATTGAATTTCAACCACATCTCAAGACCCGTAACGCTTAATATGTAACACGATTGTCAATGCCTCCCCAAAATTATCAATCGGATTATGATCTTGATCAACTAACTGAACGGTTATCGAATCAATATTTGTTTTATTCAATTTGTAATATATTAAATTTGGCGGTGCCTGAATGACTTTCGACCCTGACTTTCCACTCGGGAAAAACTCATAAATCGAATGACTCTGAAGATGGTTGCTGAATGATCCTTGAGCTATATTACACATTACTTTTATAGAATTAATTGTGTTTAAATTTACAGCTTTTTCCGATCGAAGAATGTTGTATGGATTATATACTCGTTTTTCAAAACCGAATACAGGTGCTATACTATATGGATATTCAAAGTGTAGTATCCCATTACATTTTATATACGATCTGAAATCATCAGGATCAACCGTAATGTCGAATATTAAATTGGTTAAGTTTTTACTATTATAGGCAACTATTTGCTTCTTAACTCGATCCTTAATATCTTCAATTTCATAACAACCCTCTTCCAATGTAATAAAACATATCATAGGATTATTATTGTTTTCATTATCAACTACTTGTATAGAAAATTTATTATTATTTTCATTAATATTTGGGAATGAATTAAATGACTGTAAACATAACAAAGCTATTTCTGAGTCATCGTAAAGGTTTATAGGCGGAAAATAATTTACAGATAATATAGTTGAATTTCCAGTCAAACTTAATGTAATAGATTCATGCATTGTAAAAATTCAAGACATAAATGACCACAGTTAAATGTATTGAAGTCTTGATAGTTGTAATAGTTATATACTATTTTGAACTGTCTGAAATAATGTTGTAATTCAATTGGTGGGGGTAAATCACCAAAGCTATCAAAATATACAACTTTGTCCTTATTTTTATAAAACGCTACCCAATGGCTTCCATCGCCTGAAGATATATCCAAGTTTAATTTACCACATTCAATAGCGTGCGGTTTTTTAGGTAAGTTATCACGTGAAAAGACTCCACGGAAATGATTGATTTTCAACTTTCCAGTATATTTTATAATATCTTGAGACGAAAGCGGTCTGTCAAGTAGCGTGATCACCAGTTTTTTTTTCTTAACCTATTCTTGTTTGATTTCAAACCGTTACCTTTTTTGAATTTTGAATTTTGAACCGCATTATACACACTAGCACCTCCAGACATCAAACTACCAAGTGCTGACAATCCCGCAAATATAGGTATTAAGGGAATTACACCTCCTGACTGCCTCGGTGCTAAAATCAGTCTTTTACCACCATTCTTTTTCTTTAAGATTCTTTTTTTCTTCGCTGCTAGTATACCATTTGTTTTTATAGCACTTTTCCGTTTACAACCCATACCTATTTTTCTTTTAGCTTTCATTGCGTTTGTTATTGCGTACGCAACTAATTTCTCTTTTCTAGGTGTATCTTTTGCTTTAAATCTTTCCCAAGCACGATTTTCTAACACTTTATCAGCTTTATGTCTATCGTCTAAATTCTTACTCGCCGCATACACAATATCGTGATCATGACAAGCAGCATCCAATGGGTTTATTCCTTTATCACCACGATCTAGTCTCTTTTTTAATTTCGTGCCAGGACCACAATACTGATATCCTGAAACATGGGCTTCGAACGGGAGACTATTTATAAGGGAGTTTAAAAATCCTTTACCAGTCTTGTTTGAATTGTACTTTAATTATTCTAGAGTATTTATATGAAAATAATATGAATTTGATTGAACAGAAAGATAAATTAGATGTAATAAATGTAGATGTTCAGGTAGTAAAAAAACCTTCACGACATGGTTCGTTATTACCCGATACTATACGTGCTATACTAGTTGGTCCCAGTGGCTCAGGAAAAACAAATATAATGTATCTGATCACACATGCAAACGGGTTAAGATTTGAAAATATTTATTTATACTCGAAAACCTCTAATCAGGAAAAATATGTTTTATTGAAAAAAATAATAGATGATATAAAAGGTGCTAATTTTTTCATATTTACAAGCGCTGATAAGGTTATAAAACCAAACTTAACGAAGAAAAATTCTATTATAATTTTTGATGATGTGATATGCGGTCCACAATCTGTAATCAGAGAATACTTTAGCATTGGTAGGCATTCAGGTGCCAGCTCCGTATTTTATTTAGCACAGACATATTCTAAAATATCAAAACAGCTTGTAAGAGATAACGCAAACTTTTTAATAATACTGAAACAAGATGATACAAATTTACGACATATATTCAACGATCATTCGTCTGCAGATATGGATTTCTCAGAATTTCGGAAAATTTCTCATTTATGCTGGAATCATAGCTATTATGGGTTTATGGTTATCGATAAAACTCGAGAAATGAATGAAGGAAAGTATAGATGCGGTTTTCATACATTCATTAAAATAAAATAATTTTATGTGTTTATATAAATATACCGTCACACAGTTATTATCTGCATAGTGTAATCAGTAGTCATACGATACAGGTATATTGCATTTATTATTTACAATGAACAAAGAAAAAGTCTTGTTGGAAAGTTTGATAACATCAAAAAAAAATATACAACGAAAAATAATGGAAATGAAACGTGGTGT